ATGGAGACAGCTAAATTTACACGTTATGGACCGAAACCTGAGGGGAAGTCTTAGCGGTAGCGAGTCGTCAGAGACTGAAAGCATTTTTGACACAGAGTATGATGGGTGGTGAAGACACAAGGATCCGCCAAGAGCATTGAAAGTATTTTTAAAGTGCTCTCGCTACTAAAAATGAACTGACCGGCATCTTATCTAAAGATGTCAGTTTGACATTGTAAAGGATAAACTCAGCGAAAAGTGTTCGGCTTCTGGGTGTATATTTTTAATGAAATATTGTTATCCAGCAAAAGTCCGTCCAATAAGGCTGAAAATGATGATCAAGTCAACAAGTTGACTGGGTTAGCAGCTGAAGCAGTCAATATCGTCAGCAAAATCATTGCTGGACTGAAGCCAAATCTGACGCGTCTAGAAAAAATTAAAAAGACCGATGAGATAATGCAGGGGGGGCGAATCAAGCTGTATACGATCTACCTTAAGCCATTATTTTTGTGTGCGGCTTAAGAGGGAAGGAAAGACTGACATTCGAGTGGGCCATGTTGTTGCTGGGAGTGCTCGAAAGGCGTCTGGATTTCCGCTTAAATTTCACGTGGGTCTTGACATTACCAACGGGTGACAGACTTCTAAAGGCTCGGTTGGACAGGAAAAGTGGCCCAGCTAATTAGAAGAAAAGGACTGCATGTTGCTACTTTATTAAAACGTGATAGAGGCCTATCACAAGACTGAATGCTTATATTAGCGTAGTAGTAATTCCTCAGCTTTAGTTTGCCCGTCGCAGTATATATTATTATTAACCGCTACAAATGGCTGTATATCCTAGACAGCACTTATCATTATCCCGACAGGTGTCTAGCGGACGGTTGAGAGCGTGGGTGTGCTGTTAACTATATGAAAGACTTTTGGATCGAATTGCTGCTCATGAAGACCGAATGCGCAAGTAGTTCCATTCACCCATAAAGCAGCGTGACAATGTAATTAGCACCTTGTATACTAAAAGCTGCAAGAAGTTTTGTAATCATTAGTGAGATTATTATTGAAATTTAGTGAAATGTGTCAAGAAATAGAAAAATATTGAAATATGGTAGCCAATGGCAAAAAACCCTTCATTTTAACCATCGGTTCAGTCTTGCTTAAACCTCAGATTGTTTATTCGATTCAAGGAATATGACTGTTTAGAAACAAGCACAGAGAGTATCAGTAGCGACGAAAGAGGCTCTCCACGTGACATATGATCTAGTCAGCGTGCGGAGTTTAAATTGATGTCCCTCTCGATTTCGATGGCGAGCGCACAATACCTATACCTTCGAATATCTTGTCTGTGATGATAAATTGCCACACTATACAGACTAAAATGAGTCGGTATTGTCAGTGCTAATTTTTTATGTAGCTCACATTACGTTTCGTCCATAAACAAAAGGGACAGAGTGGTACATCGAAACCAGAAGGCAGCGAAAGGACAGCACAAATGTTTGCGTGGCATTGTGGTCATTTAAAACAATTGCGCACAAAGACCCGCCAAACATTACCCGGCTATTGATGTGCCTATGGTAAGTGACCTTTCAGCCCCTTTGAGAACGAATTGACGCACAATGGTTGTAATTAAGTAAGATCGTTGTAACTTACGCGAATGAGTCGCAGACAATCTCACAGCAATCTCTAAAATCAGAGCAATAAATTAGATGCAAAATTTGCTGATTATAAACGAATCAAATGGCGAGCACCACCTCAATTGATTAAATTAACAAAAAGCGGTTTCTTCCAGGGTTTCTTGTTACTGGTCAAGAAATCATTTCAAATTTATTCGAGGACGTAGCCATATCGATTCGATACTTAATGCACTTAAACTTCTGTTCGGCACAAAAATGATCGGAAGCCTTCGAAGGGCCAGCTTACGAGTTTCATGAATGTATGTAGTCACAGAAAAACACTGACTTTAGTGGGCCATCACAAATTATTGTTTCATTTTCGTTTGCCGTATATCAAGGAGTGTTGCGATTATGGACAATTGTTTTTCTAGTTTGCAGGGGTGCGTAGCTCCTCGAACAATACTTTTGGCTAAACCGGGTCGATGATAATGGTCTCATGAGCTGCACGAGCGACCGATTTACAAAAGTTACATGGTAGCTGAAGCGAAAGCACTAATCTTGGAAATGACCACTCATTTGCCGGTGCGCAGCCCGTCATAGCACTTCTTAAATGTACGAAGCAGACTCGCGTGGGGCAGGCGTGCCACCATAAGCCGTCACATCTTGCCCCCCGATTAGGATGTCAGCGTGGCCGCCCAAAACAAGTACACGAATCTCGAACCATCCGATTATTCACCTTCGTTAATTGCGGACCTGAAGGGTGAAGCTTCTAGCGACAGAGCACAAGGTGCATGAATATACAGAACTTGATGACGTTCGATGGACTGAATGTGCATTTAACTTTTACTGTGTATATGATGGGGGAGGACGCATTGTAGTTAGCCCTTTTTATTTGTGAACCAATATAAAAAAGGCCAACTCCAGTGCATGCTCCCCCTATCATACATACATTGAGGGTTACAACAATAATGTAGCGCGAGTAATGCACAAGACTGAGGTCATTGGAGCCTTAACTTTTTAATACTAGCATCAGGAGGAGCTCGGATTCTAAAATGACCAAAACTAAATCTCATTACCAGTGCCACATTTGTACAAAGTCCCAAAACCAGCACAATACTCAGCACAAGGTAAGTAACTAGTGTTAGCCACATTATACCCAAGCGCAACATGGAATACGAAACTGTGTCAATGGTAACAAGTTTTTTCCTTTTAATAGACAACTGTCACACGAATGGTTACGCACATCGGCGTCGGATGGTCCAAATACCTTTCTTCAAAGACCACCTCTCCTCGATTGTATCCTCACGTACACAACTGTACATAAAATGCGCTTGAGTCGTGCTTTGTGGTACCATTCTTCGTCCCACTACAAAATATAGTGCCTGCGTGGGGGTAATCGTCATGCGTAATGATCCACAATTAAACGATAGAGTAGCGCTGCGTGGAAAGCATCTTGGCGGCGGGTGAAGCACTGTCGAGGTTAAGATATGTTGTCGTGGGCGTGATGTGTTTCGTTGTGTAGAATAAAATGCATTGAATACGAATGAGGGTATGCTGCTTCTTGGACGTGAGTTGTGGCATGATGCTGCGATGAACACTGGAGTCGGCTAGGCTTTGGTAGTGGATGGATCATATAGTCGTGGTGTTGGCAGCAGACGCAGAGCTAGAAAGTGTCAGTAAATTGCTCATGTTGATACAGACAATCTAATCCTTGTACTATTAAGCCATTGCTTATCATTGTACAAGGGATCCGAATAAACGGACGAGCGCGGCGGCTTAAGAGCAGCAGTAAAGGAAGCGGATGTCCGATCGCTTGATCAGGATATTGAGCTCACTAACAGAACATCTGACGACGTGAATAGTCTCTGTCCTCTCGCGGAGGACATCCCCGATGCGCTCTTCTTTGATGGCTTGACCCGGGTCAATCCTGACTCGGTAGGTGCTGGTGCTGTTATTCTTATGTGTTCTGTTTCGCCTGACTCGGCCAGGATACGTTGGATGGGCAGCGTCTTCCTCGCGAACCGCACCACAACAACCAATACAGCCGAGTACAAGGCTCCACTTTTTGGTCGTTGCAAAGCACACGGGAACAATTCCATCGTCGTGTCCACGTCGCAAGCGACAGCGAAATCATCCTGGTACAACTACGACGGCGGAGACTTTCGAAGACAGTACGGCTCTTCGACCTTTACAGGCAATGTCGACTACTTAAAAACCGACTGGGTGTGATCATGTGGGCTCATCACCTTCAACAATTTGATCGAATGGCGGAGGGGCATGCAGACGGCCATCAATAGTACGTAGGCATTCCCGCAGTAACGCTCGTCTGCTACCGAGGTAATTGATCGACATGTTGATCTCAACACGAGCTTCAGAACTTGCAGAATAATTAGATGATATGACTACAGGTTGACTTTGTGTCCATTCTTCCTCGCTAGCCTCTTGAGATAGATCCGGGCATGTGTAAACCTCCAGCAAGCGAGCAACAGCCTAGTTGCATCATTCCATTCGAACAGGAGCCAGCCCCCGTCCACACACACACACATGTTGACACGACATGTATTCGGCTTACGACCACAGAGCTCCTTCATGCGACGCTATAAAATAACTTCCTATTGCAAACGGGTGATGGTTCACTTGTAAACAAAGATGAGCACGAAATGTTGCTTGCATCGCGTGATACAGGCTGTCAGCAAGACACTGTTACGCTGTCGAACCCGTGCAAGGAGTACCGCGTGCTAAATAAGTGGGCACGATCATGGCCAGTCTCGTCCCTCGTCTATGGAATGCCAATTGATGTGCCACCATATTGTCGACAAGGCTCGACCGCGTACAAATGTCAAGTCTGTGTAAAATTATGAGGAACAACGCACAACATCAAGCAGACGGGAGCAACTGATCGATCCCCACATTTAAAGGAGCCGGAGCAAGAATACGATTCTCTTCAATGCAAAGTGTGGTCTATCAATGTTCGAAAGCACCACTTCAGTCGTATCGACAGACGTCAGGCAAACGCTGCATGGCAAACGTACTCTATCTGCAGTCTCACACTAGCACCTGTTGATACGTAGCGCAATCAGCAAAACTCGTAGCGCAAATACGAGGACTCCAGGCGCAGTTTATCTCGTCGGACACATGCAAAGCTGTCACGATTTGAAACAAGGCAATAAACGAGCCGTCACGTGTGACGCGAATGTTCCACGCCGCGGTCTGCCTGCGAGTGTGTAATCGATTGGCTGAACGCGTGAACGAGCAGATCCGATCGCCGACGGCGTGTGTATCGCTGTCTCTAATCAGTTCTCCTTCTGCTTCCTCACTCGCAGCGTAGTAACCAGCCAACCAACTAACCAACCAACCAGTGAACCAGTCACTCACCCATCTCCTACGTAGCAAAACCAGAACAAAAGCTTCTTCACAATGGTCGTCACCGATAGTGACAGCTACCAAGCTATTGATATACCAGCTCCAGTGAAAAAGTCATGGTCCCGTCAGGTCCTTACGTCCTTGACCTTCTGGATCATCGTTGGCATGGTCGTTGGCATCCTCATGGGTCAATTTGCCCCCGAGTTTTCAAAAAAAGCGGCTCCTATGAAGGAGCTCTTCCTCCGCTCGGTGCAGTTCATCGTGTTCCCGCTCGTGTTTTCCTCACTAGTGATCGGGATCGCAGACCAAAAGGACATGAAACAGCTCGGCCGTCTCGCGATCAAATCCATCATCTACTTTGAGGTTATAGCGGCACTGGCACTGATCATCGGGCTTCTAGCTGCCAACATGATCAAGCCTGGCAAAGTCGGTCTCACTCAAGTCGACGACTACGACGGTCCAACGAAAAGCTCGTTCACGCTCGAAAAGTGGATCGAGCACTTGGCCCCGAAAACGTGGGGCGAAATGATGGGAGGTAACGGCTCGTCCGAGCTCCTTCAGGTGCTCGTAGCTGCAATTCTTACGGGCGTTGCCACGTCTCAACTTGAACACAAGCACAAGCATCTGATCATTGACTTTGCACGTGCCGTGCTGGAGATGATGTTCAAGTTCGTGGACATTGTGATCTGGACCGCGCCTATCGGTGTCTGCTTTGCAATTGCCAGTGCTGTTGGCACCAATGGTCTCTCGTCTCTAGGCAGTCTGGGAGCCCTTGTCGCGACGGTGTACGGGACCATCCTGATCTTCATCGTCGTCGTCTTTGGCTCAGTGTGTCTGATTTTCAAGATCAACGCGATCGAGTTCCTCAGTGCAATGAAAGATCCGCTTATTATTGCCTACACGACAGCTACGTCCGAAGCTGCTTTGCCAAAGGTGTTTGAGTCACTGGCGAGGTACGGCGTCTCGAAGCACGTCTCGGGGTTCGTCGTCCCCTTTGGCTACTCTTTCAACCTGGATGGCTCAACACTGTACCTCTCGCTAGGATCTGTTTTCTGCGCGCAAGCTTCAGGGGTGGACAAGTCGATCGGAGAGCAAGTTGTGATGGTGCTGATGCTCATGGTCTCGTCCAAGGGCGTCGCTGGAGTGCGCTCGGCTTCCATCATTGTTATTGCTTCCACACTGGACCAATTTGACGTGCCGTCGTGGCCCGTGGCGCTCATTCTGGGTGTAGATTGGATCATGGACATGCTGCGTACCTTCACGAACGTGCTGGGCAATTGTCTCGCATCGGTTGTTATGGCCAAGATGGAAAAGGAGTTTCGCACGGAGGAGTGGGTGCGTGAATACCGAGGATCACGACACAGTGAAGACAAGATGGACGAGAAGATGAGCCACGTGTCAATGGTCTCCATTATTGACGAAGGCCGCTGCTGAGAGGCGACGGAGTGTTTAAGAAAAGGTCATGTCGACTACATGCTGTATATATCAAGGTATCGGATGCAAGCTGCTCCGAGGGCATTTACCGGTGTTTTAGTGGAGATGCACACAATAGTAATCGTTGAGTCTAAACTGTATCGAAAACAACGCCAAGAGCTGATCCGTGAGCAACGTGACTGCAAGCCCTGATTTGCTAGTAACTGATCTATCCGGTCAAAAACAGACCTTATATTTCGATATGACTGAGTCACGCGTAACACGTCATAGCCAATCTGCATACTTTTACAACAACCTAGTGGCTGTATCGAAAAAAGGCCTATGCACTGGTCGTGCTTCTGCTTTGTACTCTGCGATGCGGGAGACATGAGAGACGAGAGTCACTGATCTTGACAGCTGGTGATGGATGTGATAGGCAAATGTCGCCGAGGGCAAACGACCAAGCGTTTAAAAGCGATAGCTCGCTGATGATCACAACTCGAGGTGCTTACACACTCTAGATTACTTCTCGTTGGCAATGTCCATGAAGCAATAGAAAGCGTTAAGCGCGACAAGTACAAGGGCGTGTCGTACTACTATATATCTTGGCGTGCTTGTCTTGACTTGACTGCTTGATGCAAAGAAGTCCCGGTACCATTCTGTTCCACACAAGTCAGCTGGACCGACCAGCTCGACAGTTGCTGAACATCGACATCTGGATGCCACTGTGTGCAGCTTGCAGCTTTTCTCTTCTGTTTCGAAATAGATACGTAGAAATTGGCAAAACTGGACAACAATTCTAGATAGCTATTCAGCTAAGACCTAAAAATTGTGAGATATCTAAATTATCACTGCACGTAGTAAATGGGCGTTCTCACTGCGACCATATACTTTGACATATTGCTATTCCATTCAATTACTAATGATGGACTCATAGACATCATGTATTCTATCCGCCTGCATGGCATGCGACCCATTCCGAACGTGAGAATACTCGCTCTACTTGTATGTGTAGTAGGTTCTACATAATGTTCTTAATTGTGCATACCTAGATTGCAAAAGTCAGCCTATAAGTCTGCAACTTTGACGGCTATCACTTAGCTAAATGCGTCATCTGCATGCGATCGTGTGAATAGTAGCTGTGACACCACTGTAGTTATAAGAGGTTTCACCACCAGCGAAATAAAAAGGAAAGGTGACGTAACCTCCTACGGTCAATGTCGAGGTCTTTACATCGTTCTACAGTTGATGAGCTGATGCATTGCAAACATTTGACAGCAGTACCGCTCACCTGACTATATCAATCCGTCACCTAAAAGTGTAGCTATATAGATACCGGATGTAGCATCACCGCTGAAGCTGATGTCCTTTTTGGACCAACGTCATCATCGTAGCACGAGCTTTGATCTCGTCGTTCTTACCAGTATGATGTTTTTTCGGTGTCGTTTATGTTAGGCTTCTGCACCTTGGCTCAACATTTGTTATGTTGAGATTATTGTCAATCACACACCGTCTTATCACGCACAAAATAAGCTTACCCAGAATGTCGATAGGCGTGCTTGAGAGACAACGACGGTAGTATCTGATTTGACTTCAGTTGAAGTCATTGTTGCAACTCCTGTAGAAGCAGCTGCAGTTTACTGTGCACGCGTAGCCCACGTAATGACATATTATAATAACGAGAAGTCTCATTGGCACGGAAATAATACCGCGACATTAAATTACACACGCAATGCACACCTTTACGCTTGCCAAAGGTGCGGGCTGCAACCTCGTGTATACCGCAGTCCCTGTCAAGTCCGGAAAAAATACAATACATAGAAATAGAACACAAATATCAAAGCTGCATATCTTGCAGCATTCATTTATCGTGTGGGTTGACGAGCTTTCTTTCCACAGTCGCCAAAACTGACGAGATTCTATCAAATTATGAAGAAAGACAGTAGTAAAATACACAGCCGGTTCTATTTCATCTTCGTACTTAGTCGGAATCCGGATGTAACCTGTTGACAAAACACGCAGCAGTTCAACTTGACCGAGCCGTCACGTCGTCTCACGTCGTCGTTGTCACCGTTTCTGCGGCTCCACGCAACTTCTCGACGCTCGCAACCTCTCGTATCTTAACCCTCTCTCTCTTGCGTATCGATTGAGCTCTTTTCTGTGTCGTTCTGCCCTTTACTTTTGCTGCAAACCCCATGGAATCGAAAGCCCCAGTCTCCCTGGACGCCATCATGCGTGTAGCCTTTTGTCTCGAAGGTCGCGATAAGCTCTCAAAGGTCTTTTTTTCTGTATCTATATAAATAGTGTAAAATAGCAGCTTTTGAACCATCCATTGACTGTGGCTTGGATGTGACTAGGTGCTGCAATATGGCAGTCGAGCGTTGGCGTTCTACGTACTATCAGCTGACCCCAAGAGCGACATCGGGCAGCGTCTCCACGCCCTTTACAAGGTCATGCAACAGTCTCGAAAGGCTTTTCGACTGGGCAAGAGCATCACATACTACAAGAAGCTGCAGACGCTATCCAAGAACAAGAGTCTGTCGGAAGAACAGAAGTACTTGCAGTGGATCCAGAACGTCGGCATGCTTGGCTACTTTATCACCGATAACTTGGCTTTTGCTAGTAAAGCAAAGGTCTTGCACTTTGATGCTGACGAGATATCGCGTCGTGGAGGCATTCTTTGGTTCTGTGCCAATGTAGCCGGCTTCTTTCAGGCTGTTGACAATCTGAATGCTGACGTGGAGAAAGAAAAGTGCGTGAGGGACATCTTGGCCTCGGAAGACGATGTTGTTCGTGTCGAGGCGTTGCAAGGTCAACTGGATGCACTGAGAAGCGGTCGATTCAAGAAACTACTTGCAGTGCTCAAGGTGACGTGTGATCTCATTGTGTCGTCCAATACGGCAGGCGTGAGGTTGTCGGAGCGGATCGCTGGCACCAAGCTACATGACGGAATCATCGGATCCGTGGGCGTCGTGTCGGCAGCTGTCGTGCTGTATAACACGTGGCCTAATGCACCAAAAAATGGCTTTCACTCTGAAAAAAAGACGGAGATCAAGATGGAAGCGAATACTGAAAGCAAGATTAGAGTAAAAGACGAGACGAAGGGTGAGGCGATCTAGCTTTCTAGCTGAAAAGACTTTGATTCGTGGTGGTACGACACAGCTTCATTGATATGCCTTGCTCATGGCTATCCATCCACAATTCCTTGAATGATACAATGAAGACTTTTATATTGCAAGCAAAGCTGGTGACTAATGGTTACTCTTGGACTTGCATTGTGCATTTTATGGCGGATGAATGTGATCGGCACAAGATAGACGAGATGTGCAATGCACTTTTCTACGAACTGAAGTCGCAGTACTACCAACGATACCGATCGCTGAGGCGAGAGAATACGCAAGCGATAGTGAACGCCAGTGGTTCCGGAGCCCCATTATTATGCGTTGAGTTGCATTGGATTTACAGTAGCTTCTACCATCTTTTACTGGGAACTACTGTAGTGGTGAGCGACACAAAACATCACCAAGTGCATTCCTAGCAGTCCTTGTTATCAATATTTGCTAAAGAATGAGGCGTCTGCCTCGTTGTCGTCAATGATCGCTTCAAGATGCACACTCCGTGAGATAGTACTTTAAATGTGCACGAGTACACAAGGCGCATTTTTAGAGAAGAGAAGACGTGAATTTGGTTAAGAATACATGATTTGCTCGCGGGAGCGACCACACTATGCTTGGATAAACACGTCGGTCGTTTCACGAAAGCGAGACCTGATGCTTGTACGCTGAAGAAACAGCAGTCGCTTGAGTCCGGTAGACTTGGCGCTAAGCTGCTTTGAGACATACCTGACGATTCAGCAGAACCATACTGAAGCCTCATTAGCTACGCTCATTCAACGGTTCATGACAAGCCATTGGTTTCTGGTCGCTAGTTCACCACGTATTATGTTAGGAAAGCTCTGGATCACAGTAAAAATACCAACCTTTTTTCATTTTCGTCAAAACAGCTCTGAACGGCCACGTTTTGTTTGTTCAAACAGCTTTTTCATGATCTCAAGCATGCTCACGGTGGAACGATTAGACATTTGCATAAGAGACTTCGACATTCGTAAGTTTTATCGATCGTGTTCACACAACAGCCATCGCAACGTTTTTATTCAATGATTGCAAACTTTATCGCGTGTCCACGTGTGAATGAAGATGAACATTTTCCTGGTCTTTCGTATCCACCACAAAACAAATCTCTTCAAATTCTCTTGCCTCGTATCTTACGCTCTATGTAGATTACAGACACGAGGCTAGCACGATTATTTGGGCAAATGCTGAAAGGGCTGAGTTCATTTTTATTCGGCTGGGTCATTCTAAATCGTTGTCAGAAGTAGCTCAGAAATATGCCCAATTTCGTCAGGAGTAGATCCTAAATACTCCATTCACCATTACTGTTTACTCACTTGCCCGTGCACAGCTCAGAATACCGATTTCAGTGCATTTCGCTGCAAAACCCTACTGCATTCGTTACTTCCTGGCCGAACATCACTACTGTGAGCAACAACAACACACGTGCATTTTCTTCGTACAAGCGATATAATCCATTATGGGAAGCCCGTAAGTACAGCCTTGTCACCGCTGCCGTCCGCGATACACTTGGACGTACCATATCCTCCTTGTCGTATCTTTGTGGCCATCTCGTCATGTCTTATTGAAGATGCCACATTCACCTTCGTCTAGAGTAAAAAGGGATTCCTCATGAACTGGACCGTGCCCAGTATGCCTGCGATGCCAGTTAGAATACGCGCTGACTTGTACTTGTAGGAGAACACCTGTCTAATCACAAGCAAGGTGGCAATTCCTTTATTACAGGGAACGTGACATGGAAGTTGCGAAAGGCGACCTTGATCGTTCGCCGGATAACATCCTCTGGAAGAGCTATTTTGATATCATTGCCAATTGTATCGAGGTCATGACGCCATCACCAAAGATGTTTTGTTACTCAAGTACAGCCCAAGAGATGGAGTACGGGGTCAACACGATGGTGCGCACTTTAACGTTGTAAAATAATTAGAAACGTGGCTATTCTCATGATGAAGTCGCTGTGGCGCTTACGACGTCAAGAAAACTGAACGGTTCAAGGGCTGGATTGCTGAGTGCGATCTCTGTGCAGACGCCGTGGATTGAGACGTACTATCTGCTTCCGATTGTACTCAACAAATCGTAAAAATGTGCGCGGACCTGATAAGTAGTTGGATCCGAAGTAGTAGTGATCTAACATACGTTCAAAGCCGATGGTTGCTGGGTGAACAATGGGCGATAAAGGACTCGATCATCTACGAGCTGGTAATAATTGGAGGCCGCTTGCTTGACGAACCGTAGATTGGTACACGCGAATGACGGCGCCGTAGAGGATGATGAATTTGAGAGAGGTGATGCCGAATAATTTTGATGCCATAGAAAGCGGCAATCAACCCCTGATTACATCCTTTTTGCGTGACACAATGTGGTGGATGTGAACGGTGTGAAGATAAGCCAGACTTTGGAGCTGCATCAATACGTGCGCCTCATAATTTGCAACTTGGTATCAAAATGATGCTAGATTCGCTATGTGATTGGCAGCCTGTTCCTGGTAGTCCGTCACATTAGGGTAAACCCCTGCATTCAAAAAGTCATATACACCATTGTCATTACCAGCCTGGACAGCAACTTGGCAGTATAATATCAACTAAAAGTAGAACTTTCTTAATACTACGCGACACAGAATCCTTACTTTTGTGAAGACGCAGCGGGTTTTTATGGACGAAGTTGACTGTGAACATCTGGTGTCACAGCGATCGTGTCCAAAGGCCTCGAGAGGCGATATCTATCGCGAAAGAGAACGCATACGAAATGCGCTGAAATCGGTATCTGAGCTTTGCACGGGCAAGTGAGTAAACAGTGATGGTGAATGGAGCATTTGAAATCTACTCTTGACGAATTGGGCATATTTCTGAGCTACTTCTGACAACGATTCAGAATGACCCAGCCGAATAAAAATGAACCCGGCTATTTAGCATTGCCATTACTTAGAAGGAAGGCATCCACTACTTTTCGTATCACTGATGACGCCGAAGCCGATCTGTCCGACAACGTTACTGGCAATCATCCAGTATCGTAAGAACGATGAAGCTACAACTGTGGCAACTCTTTGTCATTGTTTGTCAGCGCGAAAGAGCGAATTTTGATCGTAAACGCTTCTTTGATCGTCTTTAGCTATATTTGAAGCCTTGTGTCATGTCAACTCGATACTGACGCGGCCGAAGATCAGTGTCACACAAACGTCTGCTTCTGTGGTCAGAAGGATCCATGCAAATCGACGACGGTAATCGGCAACAGCTGATGTGGAAAGCTACGAAATGTACCACAACTTATGCAGTACGATAGCAAATACAATAATTCATGGCTTTGCTCTTACAATAAACGTTGCGGCTTAAATTGCGTGCAATATGCTTCTACTTGTCAATGTGCCTTAGATGCTGGACAACAACTGGACCTTGTGGTTACAGAAAGCGAAGAGATAATTTGATAATGCATTATGCTTGTCTGATGCCAAGGCCGTTTCGAGCAAAGACCTGTTTTCGGCCTGTTTCTATGCAACGCTCTAGCACACCACGTTTATATCGTTATGACCATTGCGTAAGGCGAGCAGGCAGGAACCAACAAGATTTGAAATGACATCTGCTTACACTGCGCTTTCACAAGCAGTCACGTCGTCTGCTACTCTGCGCGTGTAAGGCTGTGTATTACGACACGCACGAGCACAAAGGCGTACTTTTATACTATCATTGGATTGTACAAAAATGACGATCTAGAATGATCGAGAAGTCAAAGGCAGCGTGGAATGGCCGTCAGGTTGTATACAAGTCTTGACATGAATGATTATTAGATTGGACATCATGCTGCTTGGATGTCATGCTATTTTCTAACCAAAATGATTGGTAAGGACAATGCAGGACAACAAACACAAGTTAAATGCTTTACAGTACGAGATTATCAAATGTGTTAATGGTTGCACGTCCTCGCTAGCCCGATAGAAGATGTACGACGAAGAAAGAGCACGAAGAAAATCCAATCGAAATGACAGGTAGGCAGGATCACACACGCAATGGATGACTCTGTCTTTGCTATAGAATCGCTGCTAAGCGTAAACTTTGACAACTAGTGTTAGCGATAATATTCGTGCGGAGCCGAGATGTAGATTCCATGCAGTCAGCTCCGTCTCTAAGCTGGAGCCTAATATGACAATAACGCAAACTTATACACCCGTCAACACAACGCAAAAAGTCAACCTCCTCATACAAGATGATGGAAAGACGTCTCACCCATCTCTTCAACTTACCCCGACCACCAGCATGCTCGCATCTTTCTATATGTTCTTTCTACCCAGCAACACTATTTCTTACTGACGCTCTATACGCGTAGTCAGCAACCAACTTGGCATCCTGGCACCTATCACGCCTTCTATTCCTACGTAGCTACCGTAGTGACTTGCCGCTTTGCGCTCGTCACAGATCCTGCATCCAGTTCGACGCCAATGCAGCAGTCAGTGTACTGAACTCTTGGTACAACCAGCGATCCATCACCATAATGCCGTCGACCTTTAATATGTATCTCCAGTTCCTAGCTCTATTGCATCATTGCACGAGCTACAGCAGCATTAAGCACGTAATGGCGATGACGGCGATCCTCGCATGTAGCCATAAACTACAAAGCATTGGTCAGGGATAATTGGACATGTGACATCGTCATTGGTAGAAAGTCAATCGACTGATACTTCATTGGCTGAAACACCAGTGCACGACTTAAACTCGGCTCATTGACAAGGATGCCGGCGACAAAGGACTTGGTGTCCGCTCTGCGACCCAATAGCAGCGACAGCGACAGTGATGAGGCGCCAGACGTCGTGTTGAATCATAATGCAATGGAGGACATGTTGACACAGCGGCGGGAGGAGACAGCGGCGCGTGCACACGCCAAAGCAGTGATCAAGAGGTACATGGATACATTTAGCTCATCTATAATTTGTACATTTTTACTTTTTAAACGCTTGCGATTATACAAAAAGTGTCCTACCTTTTAGTAATGCCTAGATATATGTTAGTTAATGGCTGATTTGGTACAATGCTCGTTTCGTCGTAACACTGTAATGCAGCAGGAAGCGGACGAAGAGCAGACAAGAGACAGAAGTGCCGGACCTGCCTGATGATGTGCTATTGGCCGTTGCTGCCCGGAAGGAGGAGGACGAAGTAAAGGAGGAGGAGACGAGAGAGACGATGGAAAAGGAGGAAGCTCGTCGGACAAAGCGTCGTAAGGGGATGGAAGACAACGTGGTCAAGGTGCTGGAGGAGAAGAAGACACACACGAGGCAGTTTGGCAATATTTACGTGCAGACACTCGATTCGTTGGAGATGACGAAGACAAGAGAAGTGTCGGACAATGCTCGACAGTTTTTGAAGCTGCGGACGGCGCCGATGCGACAGAGGATGAATGTCATGGAAGGACACTCGTCCTTGTTCACGAAGAAGCAGAAATACCGCAGTCAACGACGGTAGGATAAGTGGGACGACATGCAGTGGATCTATTAGAGGCGACTGGTTCGAGTGCGCTGGATCTAGCGATGTGAAGGAGATAAAAGCTGTGCTACGTGTTTGTACGCCACTTTCCGTAAAACATGATCGACACATATAAATGCAGAGGGCTTCTGTTGGTGTGGAGGCTACAGTTCTCACGAAAAATGCTGCAGATGTTACGTGATCGTTGTTTCGTAGTTGTTTGGTAAGCTTTGGTCCGAGGGTTCGTTCTCTTTGAAGCTTTATCGTGATTGTAAGGCATTCAAAACTCCTTGTTTATACTTTACAAACACCAGGTGGATTGGTCAAGTTATTGATGTGGGAGTCGCCATATTCAGTGAATACTGACGTCGTGATTCGTTTTTCCGACATCAAAGTCGTACTGCATTTACACCTTTTAATGATCCACGCGTAAGTATTCATCAAAGCAGAGTCGCCACTTCACATAGGCACATTTCCTTGACACTGTCTTCTTTTTCTGTGATCTAAACGCTTTGTAAACCATGTGTGGCGTTCTCAATCAATCGAGATTCACTACGAAATAATGGCATAACGCTGTCACACAAGCTGAGGTCAGCCCGCCCCGAGTAGTTAAGTCCTTTTTCGGTGGCGAAATGTTGTACTACTCGTGTTACCGTGCTACGAAACATCGTTCACAATGAGTCCTGAAGCAGATACACAGCACTGGATTGCGGTTGCATGGTTCGTCCTTCAAGTGTGACTTCGTTATTTTTTTAGACCGTTGGCACTGCCGTTGCCACCAACATCACGAGTCACAACTTGGCTTAAAAAAACGCGATTGCGTCCGAGTACAAACAGTTGGGTGGGATGTCCACCCCTACGTAATAAAGCAGAGTACTAATCAAGCAGAATTTCGGCTATTTCAAATGAGAGATTCGGTCTAGCGGACGAGGAGCTGTGACATCAATACTTTACCCGCTCGCGTCGCAATAGACAAGAGCATTATGATACATTCACTGCAACCTCTGTCTCCCTGTCATAGAAACATCTTCAGGTGTAAAGAGAGCTAGGGGCGAATAGATTCGTGTATTACATGTAATTTGATCAACTGCTGTATTACCGCTCCTGGTCTACGCGCGCTGTTTCCGCGACAATCTGCAGTAGATTGCTACTGGTCCTCCGTCAGCTATGCCGCGCGTGCTTCTTTACCCTCAGGCGACTCGAGCCCAGCGTGACTGTAGCATTATGTGAAATACTCGGTGGCTTTTCGCATAGTTTCCATTACGTTCTCGTTCGACTTCACGATGCTGGCGAATTTTAAGCCTTGGACGGTGCGGAAAAATGGAAACTTGACGGCGTTTACAGTACCGTCGGAATTGAGGAAGAGCCTCTCGTCGCCGCTCACCTTGTGGGTTGCGACGGGTTGGCCGCTCCCCCGCAGGGATTTGCCATTCTTGCCATCGCCGTGTGCGTTTCTTGAGCTTGTTTCTAAAGCTTCGGTTGCGGAGGCATCATCCCAAATACCGACGACGAGAGTGGCCACAGCAAGCAGGAAGATGGTGCGGCGCATGAAGATTGGTGGGTTACTTCGCTACTGACCAATTGAGAAATGCTGAGCAGACTGTGACGCCCAACCCTTCTTTTTTGAGCATGCACGGTGTGCGCAAATGATATTACTGGTCAGCGCCACAGTTTCTAGGTTGGAGATTACTTTCGAAGCAAAAAGACCGAGCAGGAATCGCACGCGCGGCTGCCCTGTTGACGATCGTCTGCAGACGACACACTGCTGGTTTCGAAAGCATCAGACGAATGATTTTACGTTCCCACACTTGGAAACGAGCACAGACACTGCTAAACCGATCAGAAAGAGCCTTTTTCTAGCAATCCTGATCGAATTGGGAGAGCGATCGATCCGGATGCAGTTTACGCGAGGATCGTCAATCGAAAAGCTGATGCATGAGAACTGTGATAAGAAGCGGAGACCCCGAGATGCAAAATACGTGCTTTAGTTGTCGATGAACTCATAACGCGACCTGTGCAGCCAAGAGTGACGTAGAAAGAGCGTCTGCGCAGGACACATCCTCGTTATTCTACCAATAAATGACGTGGCACCCTTTCGCTTGAGCGATTTGTTATCATACCACTAGTCTGACAAAACATGATTGCCAAGCTCTGGTGCGTAATACAGTGCTCCCTCTGATAATGATTTTCCCGGGAGGTAATAACCTCCTCTGCATTGTAGAATTTGGACGTCGACCGGGGACGTTCTATGGTCGCTAACTTATAACTAATAGCCGTGAAACGAGATATACGTGCAAAGATTGGGAATTTGTACTGAATGTGGGTAAGTAAACCTGCTCATGCCAAGCATCGAGGGTGGTTTGTATAGAGTTGGCACTACAAGTGTCATCCTGTAGGCTGCTAAGTAGCTTGGAAGTAAAACGTTGGGTTTCCTGGGACAGCGAATGCAAGGTGCAGGCGCTCCCTAAGATGAAAATCTTCTCGCACTTGGTCAATCTGTCTTTAATTGTCTCCTCTTTTGCTTCAAACCCTATATTCATCATCTCTCCCACTACGTTGCGTTCAGAATCTCTTGATAATCGGGCAATGGCTGAGCGCCTCGTCTCCCATAATTCATTAATAGCTCATCAATGAAGAGTAAGCTGCATATTACACTGTGTTTCTAATAAAGGACAACAACTTTCTCCATTGACAAGGACGGCTTCGTGTCTCTGACCTTGTGGCCTAATCCCGACAAATTCTACAAACAATACGTGAGTGTCTATGTTAGTGGTCTCTGAAGCTATTATTACTGACTGGTTAGATTTAATGAGGGTTAAAAGAGAGGTAAAGATTTAAAAAGGGGGTTTTCAATTTTTTAACCAATAAATAATGACTCAACTAAAGTGCATCTGGTAAATTTTTACTTTCAAAACTTTTGTAATATATTTATTTTAATGCATTTAATTCGATAAATTCTCCATGTGCGACGCCACCATAATCCGATAGCTGATATCTTTGCGAACTAATATGAAATGTGTCCGCCGAATTTAAAAGTTAGTAGAGATTTGCATGTCATCGCATGCTCTGGTGGTTGTCCTGCGTTCTAGAAAGTGTCAGATTCACCCTTGGCTGGTCACCAATATTTTAGCGGATGCAGGCATTACTGCGGCGCAGTCCTTTCCACGTTAATCGCACTGTTGCAATGGTATCTTTTGTGAAGTGCCACCTTTATAACACCTGGAGTGGATATTTGCGCCTGCTTGATTGTGGGTCATGACAACAAATCTGAGATAAATGCTCGATGAGATTCCGAAGGCAAGAGCGGTGTCAAAATTCCTGTAACTAGATTCGCGGGCGTTCTTGATCTACTAAGCGATCCCAATCGAAGGTAAAAGATCGTTATGTGTGTTTAAGGTGCTTGCATTGCTATTACTTGGCCACGCGACGTCGATTTTCACGTACAGACTGCTTGGAGGCTCTTAACGCTATCTCGTTGTCCTACTACTCTTAAGCACGATCAAGGACGGGTGTTGGGTGGGTGCAGTTTGCAAGACTAGCATAGGTCCCCTTTCTATTTTAATCATGAATCAGACTCGTGATATGAGCTCACGATTGTCATAATCAGTTTCGTTTCGTGGCCTTCTACCTTAACGTTCGAATCTGATTGGCGCCGTAAACATTATCGCCTTCAAGTCAACTCTGCCGAGGTGTATCTACTCTGTTCTACGGCAGCTGTCCGCCTCTTTCTCTGTCGCTGGTATCGCGGCTGTGGTGTAGGTAGTAATTGCAGCTACTGTCAATTTGGGAATCTCTGGTGCCAGCAAGACTTTACCTCTCATCGTATGGGGAAACAGCTACAAACGTATTACCTGGGGCTCGCATTTCACACTTGATCTTGAATCGTATTCGGGTTCGTCAATATTTTCGACAACCGCAGCCCCCACCTCCTTTTTTACGTTGTAACTTCGAGCCGACAGTACAGAAGGCTGACGATACCCCAGCTACAACATGACCTAATCGAGCATCTGCATGCTTTACAAATCGAATTTTACACCTTGGCGACACCATTTGCATTGGTCAAGCGATAGATGAGCCTGATTGAATTGATACGCTGCTCGTGACGCAGTGCATGGCGACGTCAAGCACCACTATTTTCCCTAATGAATCGTCCAAAGTGGCCATTAGTCGACGTCAATTCACGATGAAAGCTTATGCGAAAAAGAAGATTCATGAGCACCAGATCCACTGTACCTTGTAGGCATTTATAACGGAGGAAATGTAGAGTTTTAAGAGGCTTGTTTTCCGTCCGGAGTGCGGCCTTCGAGACACGAAAATATAGACTCGTTACTTTTCATCATGGCTCCACCTTATCGCGCTCTGATGATACATATCGCTGCGTCGTGGACTAGATTCCTGGAGCAAGACGGCCATAATAGTCTGCAGAATTCCTCGTGCTTGTTTTTGTGTGTGTATATCATCGAGCTGTAGCCATCCCACTCGGCGCGTTACCAAGATCAATTAACACGTTGATCTTGTCGTGTCGAGTACCCGTGTTCGTGATAAGACTTAACTGTAGCCCATCGGTTTTTCGTGATGGAACTGCTGGCTTTGCCAGTGTACGATTTGTCCAGCAATGTCTGCAAGTAGTGAGACAGAAAGCATTTTTACGTACTCATCAACGTGGTACTCTACGGATTTGCCGAATGGTGATAAAATGCAAAATAAAGGTTAGGGCCCATCAATGTGCTGACCTCACTCGTGAGCATGGTCACCTGTGCCAACCAGAGCATTGGCAGGGACATCTCATACATCTTCGCTTTTAGCTAGTTGTCAAGCTGAGTGACAAGCTCATCGCTTGCAACTTAATGCCACGCAAATTTTACGGGCCAGCCTCGTCCAAGTCATTGCTAGGGTTGTCACACAAATTAGCCTTAACATTACGCAATCGATCTGTGTTTGCAAATTGATCACTGCTGTGCATACTCTCATGAAGTTTTCTATCTCAGTCTGCACTTGGTGATAACGTCAAAGTGTACAGCTACTAGTCCTTCGAAGTCATAATTTTGACCACCTTCCTTATAACTTTCAGGAGGAGAAACCTGCTCGATTATTGGAAACCGCATCTTGTTTAAATGCAGTGAAAAACTGAAGGAGTAATCAGCAAATGACCATCGCTTAATCGGCTATTGCTCTTTAAACGCGACACCTTCTCCAACACTTCACTGGCTTTAATCTTGTAGCCATTTCAGTATCCATAGATTTGTGCCACGATTGGGCGATTTAATGTGATAGCGTGATTATTGTTCTAAGGGTCTTATCGCAAATCCTTTGTGTAATGGGGCGAGCCTGTTACATGCAATTAACCCTTGATACTTATTAATTCGAGTATCATTACAAAGGTTGATAGTGTTCACGTATATCACTGTAGGGGGTTATTTTCAGAATCACTCACCTATTGGTTGATATGAGCATCATGTCAGTCAGCTTTAGCGGTCCAATCAATGAAAGAATTGCGTAATGAGTGGTTAACAAGACGTTAGCATACACTATTGTAAATAATTAAAATTAAATTAGGACTAAAACATAGGTTAAAGAACGGGACAATATCATATTTAATGCAGTTTTACTTTTACCAGCAACTAGTCATATTTCCTTGGTCCCTTCCTCTGCGTAATGTAAGTATGTAGCAAGGCACCACTCACACTGCTGTCGATGAGAGTAGCTCCACACTAGTCGTTCCGTGTGCTGCTCCGATGCCCCGTTACACCTGGTAGGACTTTGTAGTTCGACCAAGGACCACAACATCCGTTCAACATGAACAGGGTGGACGATGAAGGCGACGACACCTTTTAAGGCACCCGTAAAAGATACTCAATTTGAGTGATGTCGAATGGAGTGACGTTGTACAAATGATTTCGACCGCTGGCGAAGAAGCTGTCTGATCTCTGCTATCCTCAAGGGATAGGGACCATGTAACGGGGTGAATCGTTACATAACAATTTATAAGAAATTGTTAATAGAATATAACTATAAGAGTTATATTCTCAGAATATTGTCATAAGGACAATATTCTGTAGCACTTCCAAGTAGTTCCTAATTGGTTGATATAGGCCATTATATCAACCAACGAAGACGCGCCACGACAGACGCACGCAATGAGTGGTGAGCAGATAACTGATTTACACATTTGTATTTAGACATAGTTAGATGAAGATAAATAGTGATTTATTGCAGACATTAACTATTATAAATACAGTTCTACTTTTACTCTAACCGAGTACTCGCTTCTTCTTACCGTCTTCCTCTGCACGTACGAGTGTACGTGAAGTTACGAGGCACCGCCTTATTCTGTTATCAGAATAAGTAGCTTGTACTGTCACCAGTACAAGCTTCAGGGTGCCCCGTTACACCTGGTAGCACTTTGTAGTCCGTCCAAGGACCGCGTTCACATCCAACATGAATATGTTGGATGATGAAGATGACCAAAGCTTTCACGCTACGCGTGACGGCTACTCCCATTTGAGCGATGTCGAATGGGATGCGGTTGAACGAATGGGTTCGACCATGGGCATCCATGCTGTTAGCGTCATGCTAGAGGCTCTCAATAGAGATGCCCAACATGCTACTATCGCCAAGTTCATTCAAAATGAACTTGACGCAGAACGCGAGAAAGTAGCCTTGCTTCACCAACAAGGTTCTCAACAAGCAGAGTTGTTGAGAGAACAAGGTGCTCAACAGTTTGAACTGTTGAGACAGCAGCAGGCTGCTGCTGGCGGGTCGATGCACTCGCGTCGGCCCGAGACTTTGAAGATTGACATCTCAAAGTATAGGGGGGTCGAAGAAGACTCCCTCTTGAGATGGTTCGTCGAATTGGATGACGCCATAAGGGCGCGTCGCATCGACGACGGGGATATGCAAGTTGCATTTGCCCAGTCAAATCTGGCAGGACGTGCCAAGACTTGGGCACTGGGGCTCAAGCTGCACGACCCATACGCGTTTGGGTCGTTGGAAGTCTTCAAGTCGCGGCTCAGACAAACGTTTGAACCGCCTAGAGCTGAGTTCAGAGCTCGAACCGAACTCTTGAAGCTCAAGCAGGGTAAGCGTGATGTGCACGCTTACGCTCAACATATACGACATCTCACGAGTTGTATAAGTTCCAATCCGGTGGATGAACACACGTTGGTTTCGGTGTTCATGCAGGGTCTTGCGGATGGTCCCGTCAAGACTCACCTGTTCCGGCTTGAACTAGATTCACTAGAACAAGCCATTTCAATTGCGGAGCAGGAAGACTTCAGTCTGAGACAGGCTCGCGCCAGCTCGACATCATATCGTCAACCGAGACGATATGACAACGGAGGTCCAGAGCCGATGGAACTCTGTTATGTAGAGAGCGAGAAGGCTCGCTCTACAGGCTACAAGAAGTTGCAGAGATGCAACAGATGTCAAAAGACAGGACACTACGCTTACGAGTGTAGTGCCCCTCGTCCAGTGTCTCGCGACACTGGGCGTAGTGACCGTCCACCCATGAGAAAGGGGCAGGGACGAGGGTCCGCAGTTGGTGCAAAGACGCAACAACGGGATGGACCGTCAAAAAACGGACAGGATCAGTAGGTGCGGAGCACCCTACTGATCCAGCAACGTCAAGAGAATTTGTAGGCCTCTTGATGAAGGTTGCTCCCAACACACAGACATTGTGCGTTGCTGCTCTAGGTAATGAGATCTCACTCATTACCTTGAAACTCGAAGTGACGAATAAGTTGTCCCTTCGAGCTCTAGTCGATTGTGGGGCGTCCAACAATTTTGTGCGACGCCAATCGCTAGAAGATGGTCACTTTAAATTCAGTGAATGTGACACACCTCCTACGAGGATGACGGTACGTCTTGCGACAGGCGCATCCGTAACCGTCATGAAGCGTATAGTGAAGATTCACTATACGCTAGAAGATACCCAATACGACGATGACTTTATCGTATTGGATTTGGATGACAAATTTGATGTCATCCTTGGAATACCGTGGCTCAGAAGGTACGAACCACGGGTAAACTGGCAACATCGGACAGTAACGATGCCTGCCGCTTGTTCATCAGATGGCCATCTGATGAACGTTTTGGAGCGTCCACAAGCGTGTGGATGTACTACGAGTGAGTGCGATGGCCTCACTTGTGGTACGGTCGTTAGTACGACTGCACAAAACCTTAGTGTACCAAACGGTTACACTTCGGAGCAAAGTTCCGGCGGCTGTGAGGAAACACAGGCTGCGCCGAAGGTCCACCACTCGAATAAGTCGGGTGGACTGGGACAAAGATGTATCCCTAGAGGGGAACATCTAGAAGAGAAACAATCGATCGCTCAGGTTAAGCGAAACGATAATCCTAGATCGACTGGAGAGTCTTTCGTAGAGGATCTCGCTGTGGTTGCGCAACCCCAGCTAGAGGAAGTAAAGGGAATAAGTCCCAAGATTACAAATACGGCGGAAATAAGTTCCCCGAAACCCGCGGGAATAAGTCCCCGGGAAGACGAAGGAATAAGTCCTTCGAAGCCTGAGGGAATAAGTCCCCAGGAAATGACAGAGACATTGAATGTCATAGTCAATAACGGATCATGTGTAGGCGCTTATACACTTGATCTGATTGCGCCTCCGAAGTTAACTTCGGAGATCACTCAGTTGCCAACGCTCGAACATAAAAAGATTCTTGCGTGATCTGCGTAGTGGCAAAGTCAAGCAGATCTGCATACTCGTCGCTGACGACGAGTATGTAACCGACATAAGGTCAGCAACAGTGTTTACTGAGAACGAGAGAGTTCTCAGTAGTTCATCTATGGACGAGAGTGTCCTCGATGAAAAGACACGAATTGAGCGATATGAGTCCCAATCATGGGAATCGCTCAAGGAAAATCCTCTCTATGAAGATTTGGTTGAATTCAAGGATGTATTCCCTGAAACTGTTCCGTGCGAATTACCGAAGGATAAAGGTATTCGACACGAAGTCGAGCTTAAACCAGGCTCGAAGTACTGTGTCATGAAGCAGTGGCCACTGCCTCGTGAACAAGTACTTGCGATCGACAAGTTCTTTGCCGATCGTTTAGCAGCGGGCCATGTGAGGGAATCAACTTCCCCACATAGCTCTCCGACCTTCTGTGTGCGAAAAGCAACAGGAGGGTGGCGGATAGTGCACGCGTTTAACAAATTGAACGCTGCAACGGTACCGGCTCAGACGCCGATACCGAGGAAGGACGTAATCATTGATGGTATGTCAAAGAGTACCATCTTTTCGTCCATGGATTTGATGGATGGCTTCTATCAAATCCTAATGCGGGAACGGGATATACCCTATACCGCAGTTAGCACGCCTAGCGGCATGCTCTGGGAATGGCTAGTAATGCCACAAGGGCTCAGTAATGCCCCTGCCACGTTCAACAGGTGTGTATCACATCTGTTGAGGCCAGTACGAGAATTCGCGCCGAGTTATTTCGATGACGTATTCATCCATAGTCGAGCTATGGATGGAAAGTCGGACGTTGAGGTTCACAAGTACCACGTCCGACAAGTTCTTACAATCATGCGAAAGCATCAATTGTATGCAAACCTCAAGAAGTGTATATTTGCAGCAAGCGAAATACCACTTCTTGGGTGCATCGTTGGTAAGAACGGTGTACGTCCTGATCCCGAAAAGATCAAGGCGATCGCCGACTGGCCCGTGCCGGTCGATGTCAAAGGTCTTCGAAAATTCCTTGGGCTAGCGGCGTATTTGCATAAGTATTCACGCAATTACGCCGAGATGACTGTACACCTCTCTCGTTCGTTGGAAAGAACGAGAGGTGGTTATGGAACGCTGAATGTCAACGCTCCTTTGAGGGTATCAAGCAGAGCTTGATACAATCCCCAGTCCTAGCAATAGCCGATCAGGACAGGCCATTTCATGTGGTCTGTGATGCCAGCGATTTCGCAATCGGCTGTGCATTAATGCAGTACGACCTTGAAGGCGTTGAACGCGTCGTCTGCTATCAGTCGCGTCAGCTGCAACCAGCTGAGCGGAACTATCCAGTGCATGACAAGGAACTCCTTGCCATGAAGTATGCACTCGCGAAGTTCAGAGTCTATCTATTAGGAGATAGACCCTTCGTTGTTTACACTGACCATGCGTCCTTACGCACGGCAGTGAACAGCCCGCACCTTTCACAACGAATGGCGCGGTGGTTGTCATTCTTTGCAGAATACAACTTTACGGTAGAGTACAAACCAGGACGACTTAATGTCGTCGCTGATGCACTCTCACGTCGTCCCGACTTTGAAACAGTCGCGAAACCCAACAGTGAGACAGTCACTGTTGCGGTTATGACGTCCTCAGTTCCATCTACAACGTTGTATGATGATGTGAGGCGGGCATACGCCCAAGATGGTGAGATAGTGAAGTTGTTGTCACATCTCTCCCAACCATCTCGAGAATCGTTGAAACGATTGTCGTCTGCGTATCGATCTGCATCAGATCGATACACTACTCGTAACGGTTTACTGTACTATACAGCCGTTTCTGGTGACACACCACGTGTTGTCATTCCAGATGATACTGATCTGCGTTTGCGGATCATGTTCGAGTATCACGATGCTCCTATAGGAGGACATCGTGGCCGAGAAGAAAACATATCTCACGGTAAGTCGAGACTTTTACTGGCCCCGCCAGTATCAGTTTGTGCGAAAGTATGTTCGCGCATGCGAAGTCTGCCAACGAGTGAAGTCAAGTCCTTCACTGCGTGCACCTTTACAGCCTCTACCGGTTCCGGCTGAGTGCTGGGAATCCATCTCAATGGATTTCGTCTTCGGGTTACCCAAAGACGCACGCGGGAATACGGGTATTCTCGTATTTGTTGACAGATTCAGCAAAATGGTACACCTTGTGGCTGTACCAGAGACAATCACGGCAAGTGGCTGTGCTTGTGTCTTTATTGACACCATCTTCCGACTTCATGGGTTGCCCCGTGAACTCGTATCAGACAGAGATCCACGATTCACTGCTGATTTCTGGCGTTCCGTGTTCAAATCACTCGGAACGCGCTTGAAGATGTCGACATCTGATCATCCAGAGTCAGATGGTCAGACGGAACGTGCCAATCGTGTCCTTGAAGAGATACTTCGAGGATACGTACACTCCTTTAAGAGTTGGAGTGAGTTTTTGCCGATGGTAGAGTTTGCCATCAACAACTCGGTGCATGCGTCCACGACACATACACCGTTTTACGTGAATGGCTTGCGCCATCCGCGTGTACCCACCTTACTAGAGTGTAACTCTGGTTTAAGGGGGGGAGGGACTCGCGCGAGCAAAAACCGATTTGGTTCACGCTCATCACGCTCTGACGAGGAAGTCATTGCGTTTGATGCCGATATCGATAACATCGATATCGAAGAAGATGATGCCAGTGAGAGTGCGGAAGCCCTCACTGAAGACAATGATGCCAGTGAGAGTGCGGAAGCCCTCACTGAAGAAAAGGTTGTTGTTGCTGCAGTGCGCTCACAGCACACTGAAGCTAACGAGTCATCAGATGAGTTCATACTGGCTCGTGAAACGGTAGTCCGTTTTGTGCAAGACTCCATCGCCGAAGCGGTGGATAAGCAAAAGCAAAACGCTGACAAGAATGGAAGGGCAAACACTCTTTTATTTAATAAAGGTGACTTAGTCCTACTGTCTACGGTTAATCTACCAAAGCATGTAGTGACTAACTTGGGTAGCAGTAAACTACTACCCAAGTACATTGGCCCATTTCGTGTATTGCACCGCCTAGGCAATGCATACACGATCGAGTTACCACGTAAGATGCGAACGCATCCCACGTTTTACGTTGGTCGGCTTAAGCCGTACCATCAGTACGCTGCTTCTTCCGATGAAGAACGCCCTTGCGCTCAAGCATCTCGCAGAGAGCCTTGTGCTCCCGATGGTGGGCATCAACAAGGGTCTGAAGAGCAGTTATCTCAGCCCGAGACCGATCAACAATCCCACGAGCTACCCTTAGCTCGTCACGAAGAGATGTCAGAGATCTCTCGTTCTCAAGCTGAGCAAAGGCAAACTCAGCTCGATGCTTCGAGGCAGTGTCCACCATCTGGAGACGCCTATTCCGCTCATGCTCGAGATCGTCGCGTAACCCTTGCGTTACGCGATCAAAAAGCTCTCGGGAACACACCGATCCACATGATCGTGTGGAGAGCGTCTTTCCTCCTCCTCCACCTCCATTAGAGGACTCTCGCGGTGGCCAGCGCTATCTAGTAGAGCAGCTGTTGAACCACCGCGACGTGAACGGACGTCGGACGAGTTACCTCGTCCGGTGGCGCGGCTATCCCCCGTCCTGGGATTCTTGGGAGCCCCGCTCCCAATTGATGGTTGACGTACTGGGTCTGGTCGAGCAGTACGACGCGACACATCCTGTGCCGCAGAAGGACCGCCGGAGAAAGTCTTCCCGGCACGGTCGTAAAGGGATTTCAGGTTGTCAATCCCTTCGTACATCTCAGTAGGGACACGTACGCGCCACCACGGGCTGGTAAGGAGGTAAGCCTCCTTAGGTGCTCGTGCAGAGTTGTTCACACAACATGGGCACGAGTCTCCCCAAGAGAGGCAGGGTAATCCTTTCTCCCTTGACAGACGATGCAGCTTATAGCGTGCACCTGTCGGGGTTCGCTTTTCAAACTTATCACGAGCTTTGATAAGTTTGTCGTTCCAAGCGTCACGACCTACATCCTCGAGATTATGGATGTAGGCGTTCCACGCCTGAAGTAGTGAGGGACCATCACGTTTGTGATTCCCACTGTACCATCGATGTCTGAAGAAAGCATCGATGAAGAACTCATGTTCAGCGCGATAGTCTTTCGCGCTGGGGTCAAGGTGATGGATCCTTGACGAATCGAACAATCGTGTTCGATAACGATCACTCGTCGTCGCCGACAAGTGATCCATTACGGATTTCGGAGGCATCCATGCCTTCTTTTCTGGAGCGAGACGCAACACATTGCGGTCCCGCTCTTCCTGCGACGTGCCGACAGAAGTACTGGCACCTCGCTGTGAAGTGGTGTCCATAGGAGAACCGACACCACTATTAGCGCCCGAGTCTCGCGACCTCGAGCGCCTTCGCTTCGGCGATGGTTCATCTGACTCATCAGATGAACCAAAGATGCTGCGACGCAAAGCATCGTCCATGCCACGCTTGGCAGGCGGCTTGGATTCAATTGCCGTCGATACGGATCCGTCATCCGTATCAGGAGAGTACGAGACACCGAGCTCGTACTCTGTGAAGACACGAGTGTCTTCATGACCAGCGCCTGCATCACCAGGTGATACAGGCTGAGTCGATTCAGCAACCGATGGGACATCAGTTGCTGTAGTTTCTGCTTCGGCGTCCGCACAGAGACGTGCAGACGCGCTCTCGGCGGCCTTGCTCGCGCATCGCATGGGCTTGTTTACCATGCGATGAGATGTTGGAAAGTGGACGCGGACCAACAAGTGCAAACCCCGTCCCAAATGATTTGGGACGAGTATCCATTTAGTCAATCAGTCACTAAAGTGACTGATGGTTAAGGGGGGTGATGTAACGGGGTGAATCGTTACATAACAATTTATAAGAAATTGTTAATAGAATATAACTATAAGAGTTATATTCTCAGAATATTGTCATAAGGACAATATTCTGTAGCACTTCCAAGTAGTTCCTAATTGGTTGATATAGGCCATTATATCAACCAACGAAGACGCGCCACGACAGACGCACGCAATGAGTGGTGAGCAGATAACTGATTTACACATTTGTATTTAGACATAGTTAGATGAAGATAAATAGTGATTTATTGCAGACATTAACTATTATAAATACAGTTCTACTTTTTACTCTAACCGAGTACTCGCTTCTTCTTACCGTCTTCCTCTGCACGTACGAGTGTACGTGAAGTTACGAGGCACCGCCTTATTCTGTTATCAGAATAAGTAGCTTGTACTGTCACCAGTACAAGCTTCAGGGTGCCCCGTTACAGACCAGCAGCATTACATAATCGTCAAGTTATTAAAACGAGAACTTGACGTGTCACGAGATAGGGTGACCCTGCTGCGTTCGCACGGCCACCAGCAGACTGAGCTCCTAAGATATCGATAGTCTCAATCTACTTCTGCAGCGTCAACGCGTGAGCTTCGAATCGATTCTCTATAGTTAGAAGTACCCAAGTACAAAGAAGTCAAGAAAGACTCCCTGTTGAGATATTTTTGGAAGTTTACGATGCCCTTAAGGCTTGTCGCATCGACAATGAGAAAATTCAAGTTGCACTTTTCAAGTTGATTTCGTCAGGCATGCCAGATCTTGGGACCTGTATCTCCATCGACCAGTCGTGTTTGGATCGTTGGCGGTTTTTAAGACTCTGTTCAGCCAAACGTTTAAGCCGCCAAGAGCTGAGTTCAGATCTCTTATTTAGTTCTTAGAGATAAAGCAAGTTCAGCGTGACGTTCACGCTTGCGCTCAGGACGTTTATTATCTTGCAAGTTGCATGGTGGCGAACACTGTAAGTGAATTTGTGTTGACCACGAAATTCTTGCAGGGCCTTACAGATGTTCCCATAAGTGTGTACCTGTTTCGCAAGTGACAAAAAATGGTGGCGTGTCGTCACCAATAATTGAAGCTAAATGTACTGCGGTATCAGTGGTGTTAATCAATATTTGGAGTACGGGAGCTAGTTGGAAAAATTAGGGTAAAGCGGGGGCGGACTATGGTCCTATACGTGCATAAAATTAGGCGGAGCTGTAATAGTTTGAAGGAGATAGAGCGTCAGCTAAATTGGCTCGTGTGGACATTCACATTAAAAAATTGATCTAAATTGTTAAAGTGGATTAATAGCGCCCAGCTATTTGATAAGATCTCGTATGCCAGCTAATTAATTGACTAAAGTGAAAATAGTACTTAGATTGAAGGAGCTGCAGATTCTAGTAAGGTTATCCCACAAACATCAGCCTATGGAACCGAAAAATTAACCAAAGTGATGATTGTATAACAATAGAGATTAATGCATCATGTACGAAGTAATATCGTACTGATGATGTAATGCGAATGTACTGATGGATTATAAATGTGGATGTTTTGACAATAGGTGATGGACAGATGAATGAAGTGTATGGTAGAGGAGTGTGAAAAAGCCATGGTTCTGAGAATACAGCAAGGGGGTTGCTGCATGGGAGAAAAAGTTTATCTTGGCGAGTTTAGCATTTGTATACGGAAATGCGTGTCTACATAGTATTTGTTGTGTGCAGCTTAGCAATTCGTACTGTTGCAGATATTTCAAATATCACTAACTCGTTTTGTCTTTGAAGACCGTTTTTATAGTGAGCTTCCCTTTGTCGAGTATATTATGACAGCAGAAGGATTGCATCACCGGTCTGTAGTACTACCACAGTACAAGCTACTGACACTGAAACAGAGTAAGTATGTGCCTTAAAATTCTTGTACACAACTTTGCAGAGAAATGTTTCAAAACGATATAAAGGGTGAAATAGAACTGTACGCCGTTCGATAGATCTCCTGTTGATAGATACTGTTAAGTTTTCCATTATTCGTATCAAAAAAATGTAACTATATGTCAACCCACTCATTGCGTTCTTCTGTTGTGGATCGGCTTAGTTGGTTGATATCAATCATCTAAATCAACCAATAAGCAGTCTTAAAAGCTGCATAACAATATTACTATTCGAATGAACATTACAAGAATATTATGTTTGTCTTTACATTATATTCATATTTGAAATACACACCTCATGTAGAGCATCATGTAGAAAAGGCACCACGTCACAAAAAAAAACTCAACCATCAGCCACGTAGTGACTGATTGATGATCAAGTGACTGTAATGAATGACTCTGGGACTTAAAATATCATTTTAACCATTTATTGATCCCATCGCATAGTTAGCAAGTAAGTGCGGTGCGCGGCCAAAGCACTAGGGAGTGCGGCAATGAGATTACCTTCTGCTTTCGTGTAAGAGAAAAAGATTTGAATGCAGCAGGTGACAACCTAACTGCTTATTCCTTTACTCAGCATGAAGCAGTCGCTAGTCTAGGCTCAAGCGGTGATGCACCACATGACATCGTTGATTACGAGCTCGAGCTCATATACTCCGGCGAGTCGGAAGGCGACACCGACTTAAAAAGAAGATAGTGTAGAGTACAGAGCCAGACATAGTTACGACGTAGCCGATCAAGTCGGACTCGCAAAGCGCTAAAGCCTCACCGAGTGTTGTGGTATCTTCGGATCTTCCATCGAGTCAGACGCTCCGTCTCTGAGACGGAGCCGTTTTCTCGAGAGTTATGTAGGGAATGCTAATAAACAGTTAAGATATGATGACGGTGACATAGATAGGTCACAATTTAGACTTCAGTACTGTAGTGAATTGCAAGTACTTCTATCGACACCACGTAAGAAGCGAGCTACAGGCAATGTCTTGCGTGTAGCTTCCGAGATCAAGGTACGGCTGCCTTCTCAGCGAGTGTTGGATTGCTTGTTCAACAGGGTAAGCGATCTGTTTCAGATAGCAGTATTAGCATCATCAAGCCTTCATGGCCTTTTCTCCAGTGTGAGTTACTTTCGCACTGAGTATGATTTCATGAATGTGCCCTTTAAGGCCTTCGCCCTCAAAGGATCGAGCGGGAACCATAATCATCATAGTTTCTTGCTGATACAGTCATAGCACGCGTTTATCCAGAAAATTGAGAAGATTGGATGTGATGCTTGGCTAGACAAGCTAACCATGTCTCGCAATAATTCTAAGAAGCTTACCTTTACCAATGCATGTTATAAACTGTATCGGATTTTGGGAGAGGTAAGATACCCACAACGCTCATGGGGTTGTTCGTGTCAATGGTGTGTGATAAAATGGCGCGTGCTCCTAATGAAGCTTGTTCAATGACCTGTTCTGGTGGCGGGATCGTGTTATGTTGGGAATGTACGAGGAGAAAGTTAATTAACAATCCCGCAAAACGCGTTGGGAGTCTGTTTCCGATGCATCTTTTTGGCATCTAATGTGCCTTTTATCACTGCTTGACATCGCCCATTACATCCCCATCAGTTGCTAGCGAGTCCCACTAGTATTTAGCGAGGGCGGAGAGACGTGTCACCGGACGAGGTAACCTCTCTGACGTACTTTTACATCGAGGTGGTTCAATCGTTATTCCAGGAGGAAGTGTTAATCACCGCGAGTATTTTTCAATAGGTGAAGGAAAAAAAACCTCCGATGAATATGCAGATCCACTTCGATGCTGTAAATCAGCTTGACCGCGTAATGTGTGAGTTGCACGAGGACCTCGAACACGAGAGGGGCAGGCGTCCGAATTAGATAAGCAATTTGAAGCGTCTGAGCTCATATCGGAAGAAGGATAGGGAAAAGGTTGCATTTGCCAAGCTTGCTTAGTAGCGGTAACAGTGTTCTATTTGCGAAAGTCTGACGGAAGCTCGTCAGGATCAATCTCAGCTTAGCGGGGACATATCTGAGCTTTAGACACAAGCTGAGAGTCAGCTTTGCGAGCACTAGTGTTAGGTAGATTTGTTTGAGTGCAAAGGATTTCCCCACAGTAGCAACCCTCGAACTGGTAGTACTGCCTACGGAGACCGAAACGGAAAGTAGAATGCTCGTGCATCTTGCTTGGTTGTTCAATCTGAGATGATTTGTCTAGGCGACGTGGCACACAAAGTGAATGATGTACTTAGGTAGTATATTGTGACTACCCAACTTATTTCTTATGGCTTGAGGTAGTTTAATGTAGATATCAAAGTGATCCACCCTCTTTAATTGAAAGAACACGTGACCTTCCATTCTTATCAACGTTTCGTTTTTTTTTTCAATTTATCGCCTCTGTGTTAATGTATTTTACGAAATCAACAAACTTTTGCGAGCCAGTATGATTTCATCTGCTGACTCGCTATCTCTAGCTTTTGTGCTCTTGGAGTGTAGTGCAGCAAGATCGCTTGTCGCCTTATCGAGTGTGTCTTCCGACACACTAGGCGTGATGATAATTTGGTCAGTATCGTGGTGAGCAAGAGCATTCTCGCTCTTACTTTTTTTCTCTTTCACCGAGGTCGATGTAATTGACACCGGCGCCACGTGGCCCCCGAATGGTGAGCAAGCAGCAAGTGAGATATAAATAAGGGTTCTCTCTATGATTTACTCCCACTAGAACTAGAGTTACGCTCTAAAAGTTGTGTAGGCGCAGACGGAGTAAGCCATCCACAGAGAACGGTGTGTGCGTCGTCGACGCGTGAACTGAGTTGTTAATGGCACAATTCACCATCGGCACTAATTTGCTCCAATTTTTAAATGAATGGATGTGCCCTCAAAGAAATTTTTAAGATCATGCTTACCGCAATGCGTCTGACCATATAATGTAAGGTGGTCAATTGTGAAAATCCTTAATCGCGGTCCGAATGTT